GTGAAAGTTGTGCTTGGGGCAAAAGTCTTGTAACTTCATTGCATGGTGAGAGCTCTGGCACGTCAGCCGAACTGAGATGCTCTACACACAACTTGGCCTCAATACTGCAATATTGAAAGACGTTGTATTACTGTCTTTGTTTTAGCGACAGGTTTTACTTCAAGCTACTGTCAATGTAATCACTCATTCAGCCTACCATGCTCCTTTGATTGGCCTTCATTCTCTAAATTTAAGACAGTTATTAACACTGTAAGCTAACAGAAACTATGTATATTTTCAGGCAGCGCTATACTGAGGCCTGATTTTTTAAACGTATTTCACAATAAAATGCCGTGTCTACAGTGATGCAATCATCATCATGTGCATATAGGATTTTTTTTTAGAAAAACATTTGCCAAAACATATTAACTTCATCTTACAAGCATGCAGTAATGATGATTAAGTTACGTAAATGAGCTGCTGCTTAGATTGTTCTGCCTAAAATGTAATGTTAAAAATGAAAATCTATAAAGAAAATTCTAGTTCAGAAACTCACCATCAAACCAAAAATCTTAAAAAATCTTCAAAACTGCTATCCAGGTGGCAGAAGCAGACGGTTGTATCGAAACTAAAATAAAAAGCTTCCTTCACCTATGTCGAGATATAATTTTGGTCTCAACCAGGTGTATCGAACGAAAAATCTGAAAGTGGAGCCCACTTCACTTATTATGTTCTTTGAATGGCTTTCTGTACTCATTTTTTTGCCCATTGCTTGGTAGATACTTTTGAAATTATGAATGAAAGTTTCAAGCACTCAAAATTTGCAGTTGCCGTCCCTCTATTCTCTCCATCAACCACACTTCATGGTACAAACAGAATTTCGCCTTTTTAAAATCTGTGTGTTAAATTTTCATTAACATCGTCAATGGCTATAATTTGAATAATATCCCAGGATATCTAGAATCCAAGAAGCGAAATAAAGGAAAAAATCTTGCGTCAAATTTAATGTGTTCTGATTAAAAACATCTGATTAATGTCACCCCAATGAATTGTTTGGTATTTAATTCGCGTATGTTTGTAAGCTACCATCACCATAATGATCCTAAAATTTCTTACAAAATTCTACCTATTAACTTTGAAGCAACACTATTCTAATTAATTGCATCTTCAATGGTTTTGTCTCAAGGTATGATGATAATATCAATGTAATATTTCATATCCCCTAGGAAATCATAGCATAGATTCATCTCAGTTTTCATGAACAGCAATGGACAGCATTTAGTTTTTTGGGACGAGTACTTGAAGCAGACTAGCAACACTGCGGAAGGCTTGCTATAACTGATCGAGAACCTGTTCTGCGTCGTCGCGCTGAGAGCTGATGCTGGTGACGCCTGGGCTGGTGCGAGATGTACTTTTTGTGTGGAATGATAAGGCTTTGATCTTATTTTCGGTAAAATATTTCAAAGTATATCAAATCTCATTTTGTTAGTTAACCCTGCGTGCCACAAAATATTCCCAAATGGACACTCTTTCTCAGGAAAGTGTAAACAAACATATACACACAAATGAAATAATATTTCGATTATATAAAATTTGAATTGTCTCAAAATAAAGTTAGGGCCTTTCTATTTTGAATTTTACGTGAAATGTGAACATAATAGTGCGTAGAAAATATGTCGAAATTTTAGTGAAATTTTCTGAAATCGAAGGGTGGATAGTAAATGTATCAACTTTTGAATAGGGATGCGAAAAAATGACCTTTAATCACGTCTGCTTCTTGGCATCGACGTTTTCTTTTTTTTATGCTGCAGTTTTTGTCATAACTTTTATATTGATGCTTTGTGAGTCTGTTTCAAACTGGTTCAAGTGCCAAAGCTCAATCAAGGTTTCAGTTAGGGACTCCAGCAACAGTCAAGAGTTTACTCCAAGCTGCATGTGGACATGCATTTAGGCTTACAAGGATTCGTTGTCAAGTCTTCTAGATAATGTCTGAAAAACACATGCTACCATCGATGAAGTTACCAAGTTTGGTAAAGAATTCAGGCATTAAAGCCTTTCGGTTTTAATCATAAAATTAAATTGCCATTGTTGAATTCGTCCTGTAACCGCTGAAATCCATTATGCAGCCTATGGTTATATAGTTTCGAACCATCCTAACGATGGTATTCACGTTTCTGAATAAAGCGTAATCCATACAAGGGCATGGCCAATGAAACTTGGGAAACGGAACACAGAAAATGCAATTCCAGTCTGTATTAAACAGAACAATAGGTTCGACCACAGGAATCGCAAGTCTGAAATTAATTTGCATGTAGGTCTGCAAAAGTTTAAAATACACAATTACTTATAGAAATAACTTTCCTAATATACACAAGTACGTATGGTACAAATTAAGGTCAGACAACGAAGTTCAATAATAACATATATATGTCCAGCGACGGGACCCTGTCCAGATCAAAATGACACACGGTGATAGAGCGATAATGAAAACTAGCTACACGAGATGTGTAAAAGCTGCGGCTACACCTTCGAAGAGTATATTTGACAGCATAGTTTTGCGCGTGACAAGAGATTAGTAGATAGTAAATTTCATGAATTTCCAGTTATCATAATGTTAATTATATTCTATAGCTATTCTATTTGCTTGAAAATTTTCCGTTTAAAAATTTGGTTTGCTGGCCTGCAGGTCGGATTGGTGGGACCTACCCTGAAAATTCGAGTGGTCTAAGCAGCTTATTTTTGAGTCCTTAATAATATACCTCAGTATAGCACTGCCTCAAAATATAGTTTTCATTAAATCAGATTTCAGATTCCCCCAGGTAACACGTACCTAGAGTATGTTTAGGATCACCAACCCAAAGCCATGCTGTAAGCACCACCTATTGACGGCCACCAAGCTCCGCCCATCAGTGAAACGGAGAAATGAACAGCTGAGCTTCCAGAGTGTCGAGCCCACGGCTGGCAGTTCTCATTTCGGTGCCGCTATCATTGCGCTACAATGGTTCAAATTATTTAACGATTAATTACTTTCAATAATTAAGATGCGCACATGCGTACATTATCTTTCGCATTCGCGATAGATAACAATCTTTCGAGATTGTATCGCGATTATATATTATATAGATGCAGTGTATTTCAAACCCTATAGTTTCATAGACTGTTTGACGAGATGACCTCGAGATGAAGAAAATAAAATAGCAAAAAGTCAATGGCCAGACACAAAAGCGACGACAGTGAAATTTTAAATCGTATTGATTTTTCTCGAATAGCTGAGAGCTCTAAAATTAGGCAAGAACCTGTTACGAATGTTGTGTAATATATATGATCCTACTATAGATTAGATAGTCGAGTAAAAATCAAGATGTGGAGAATGGAGAAAATTCCTCCCTGTAAGTACATTTAAATCGAATTCCACCACATATATTACACAGTTAATTAAATTTGCTGATACCAGTAATTGAATACTCCAATTAACACGAAAAATTCTAGTTCGCAATCAATCGTTACGTAACGCTGGCCCTTACATTTCGAAGCTTTATGTTCCAAACTGAGCCGCAGAACTAACTTTCAGGTAATGAAATAAAAAAATACCATGCGTAGTATGATGTAATATGGTAAATACTTAATATTTAAAAATACTCTAAATTGGATTTTGCATCATAATCTGTAATTGTTTAGTATACCAAGTCCTATGCCGTTTCAGATCTAAATGTAGGGCGATTACGCACTCTTGACCCAGCCTACATACATATATATTGATTTGAAAGTAATCATTTTTTTCATTGCAACATTTGATTCAATTTTTCTCAAAGGATTCCACGAATCAGCCCAAGACAGTTTATGTGCGTCAATAGGGAGTTATTCTCAATGCTTGGCGTAGATAAAATAATTTGTCTTAACTTTGTAACTTGTATGAAGAAAGGATTCTGGGCAATATTTTTCAGACCTCGTTCATTTTTGCTTCCACTTTATTTCTACACGTTGTTTGCAATCACCCTAGCGCTGCAGACTAGACTGCGAATCTGTGCCATTCGTCGTGTATGTGATGCCACGACTCATGCATGTGATTTCTGTACTCAATTCGGCGTATGTGATAATGTATGTCGAGCGCCTTAAAAATATAGTGTTGCCTTCTGATGGTGAATTATTGATTTGCATTTATGATTATGACGTAGATTTTTTCATGAATTTTCATCAATCAATCAAGTAGCTAATGTGAACTGTGATTGCATAATGGCTGTTTAATTAACGTTTACTCGTTGTTATGTACAAATAAGATAGCAATGTTTACCATTAGATTTTCAACATTCTTATATGCTGCCGCTTTCTCTCATACTTTTTTCTAGACTATCATTTCATCTTAAATTTCCCTCTTTATTAACAACTTCAGAAATTTATTAATATTCACTAATATTATTAATTCTCAAGGAAATCTCAATAAATAATTTTATCCCAAAATGAAGCGGTTCAATTTTCTTCTACATATTGCATCATGAGTGTAAGCTCAGTACGGCTCACTCTAAAAATATTCCGCTTGTGTGGATCTTGTGCAAGGCATCTCCACTCACAACAGCCAATTTTTCTTTTCATATACCAAGAAATTGACCCTCAAGACTATCAAGCAGCTCTAATATGCGTTTTATCAAGAGAACCTGTCGCAATAATAAAAAAGCAAGTGAGACTGATTCATTTAAAAATGTTCTACTGCAGACGAACCATCTCGTATGTGTTTCCTATAGCATTTTCAATTTAACAAGAAGTTTTGTGTTGTGCAGATTCTGCTAATAATCTCACTATTCGAATCTATACGATTCCTCATATTTTGAATACTTCTAATTTAATTCATTGATACGATTATCCATGTAGACTACGTAGGTAATGCTCAAGACTCTTCAATTAAGAAATCCAATTAGACGTTTTCTCAAACGATGATTCTCGACCTATTCGAATTGAATTCATATTTTATCAATCAATATATTTTCTAAACTTTTTCATTAGGATTAAAAGGAAAAAAGCACGAAAACGCTGCAAAAAAAATGTATAATCAGAGGATTTGTCTAATAGAATTATTTGCGTTGATGAAATTCATTATAACAAAAGTCAACAAAATAACTAAGTTATTATGTTCACAATCTCCAAATGTTATAAAAATAAAGAAATTCGAATTATTAGAAGTATAGATGATTATTAAAAATCAAGGTTCTTGAGCAAGTTTCAAGCCTTACAGTTATCCAATGCCTATTTTAATTAAATTGATTCTTAATTTTATATTATAAGGCATTCCTTTTTACATAAATATTTGTACTTATCATGGATTCTCAATGCTAATATACTACCTTGAGTTTTTGTTTAGGCAAAGCGATTTATTGAACTTCTACGCGAACTTACACAGCATATCTTTCTCTAAATAATTAATAAATATAATTTAATTGGTTAGTTCCTTATCGTTCACCACGAGCTTGCTCCATTATAACCTTGCTCAGCCATTTCGCCTGGCTGCAAAAAATATATATGCATTTAATATTTATTTTAATTTAAATGAATAAATATAAAAGCGAACGAAGAAAATTTTGAGAAAAAAGCCTGGCAGAGATTTTTGGGAAAAAAAACTGGCAAATTTTGAGAAAAGCCTTTGTGATTTGAAATTAAGGAGCTCCAGCGTGGTCTGAGAGTTCTAAGTGTGAAACAAATTCAAGGTTTCTAAATAAAACCAATGAGAGATGTTCTTCAAGACAGTCTCTGCCATAGTTTAATTATATAAAGTTGGCCCACACTCTGAGAAATTTTGACACCGTTCTGCGCCTCTTCTCTGTGACGTCACACTTATCAGAAAAAGTAAAAAATTGGGGTGATTCTTGTCAAACACGTATTAAGAGTGTCTGTTTTGAAGTAATTGAAAAAGTATACCTCTCAAATTCACTAACCTTTCACTCGGTTAGTCGTTTTCTTTTCAATTTATTTGATTAAGCGCACGAAATAATTGTATATGACACCGGCAATTTGTTAAACAAGATAAGTTGATATTGTGAACACCAGAGGATTCAATGAGGATAATTTTTTATGAAGTTAGTTCAAAGAAGCAACATTAGTAATAGAGTTCACGAGCAATATTACATTTTAAGTCATACGTGACGTTACAGGCAGAACAATACACGACATCCGCAAGGCGTGGGTCAACCCATGGCTGAACTAGTATAAGGTTGACCCATGAGATGCCCTTTTGCGGATGTAGTTTGTTGTTCGCACGTGACGTCAACGATCTCAGTGACGTCACGGGCATTAACCATTCACCGAAATGCGATCAAACCAGTCAATCAATTCGTTATTAGAATGACGGGATTGTTTACGTTTCTTGATCTCAGTGACGTCAAATTTGAATCGAAAATCAAATGAGAACTTCATATTTTATCTAAAAATTAGTGTGAACGTGTCTTTCTATTACTAGAATACATATGCCATAATTAAACAAAAATTTGAATATGTAAATCAGAATTAATTTGAAAACTAAATTCACATCGCAGATAAAAACATAAATTGACAAAATAAAAACAAATACACATAAGGAGACAGGCCTATCTATTTACAATTTCAAGGGGATAGGAGCTGAAGGCTGCATTTAAACCAGGTTTCTTTCGGATTCCAGCTCTATCGTCAGTTCAAAAGTTCAAAACCTATAAGAAAATCAGAATCAAAATCAGAGCTGGACTCCGATACGTTAATCCCTGTATATTTTTAAACAGAAACCTGGTTTAAATGCAGCTTTCAGCTCCTATCCCCTTGAAATTGTAAATAGATAGGCCTGTCTCCTTATGTGTATTTGCTTTTATTTTGTCAATTTATCTTTGAATATGTAAGATTACATAAACTTTTCTAATAGCTTTTTCAAAGATATTGTATCACATGAATTTTCATAACAACAACTAAAAAAATTCAATGATTGTTTGACAATACTACATTTTTACCTTGAACCACATTTTTGTAGCCATTTTTGCCGAATGTGTGCAACTTGTAGCGCGTGGCACCCAGACGTCGCTGTCCTGGGAACTTGCGTTGCGTGGTGACGAGCTGAGGAGCTGCCGAACATATGGCCAGCACCGTCACCATCAGCACCTTCAGCACCTGCAGCACACCAACACGTTAATGGTGTATGCATTGTATTTCACTGAATCTGGCGTAATCAGCTTAGAGATAATTTCAGAAGCTTTAAGAGTACATTTTAATACAGAGAATTCGTTCAATCAAATACCGTAGTCAAACAGTAAAGTAGTTGTTCGACAAGAGCGTTTTTCCTGGCGCGTTACGTTCATGTGACACGCTCAGCTTACCTCCCACATCAGATCCGGGAAACATCTGAGGTGAGGCTTCTTTATGGCTGAACTAGTATAAGGTTGACCCATGAGATGCTCAATTTTGCGGATGTAGTTTGTTGTTCGCTTGTGACGTCACCGATCTCAGTGACGTCACAGGCATTAACCAATCACCAAAATGCGATCAAATCTGTCAACCAATCCGTCATGAGAATGACGGGTTTGTTTACGTTTCTCGATCTCAGTGACGTAACAAGAAAGTTGAACTGAAAGACGGAAATCCTCGTGGGTCAACCTTATATAGTTCAACCAAGTAGGGTAACGTGGGGCAGCGCGCCCCCCACTTTTTTTAAACTAAATTTTTGATGAAGTTTTAATTGATACGAGGTGGTTCTTTGTTTTGTTTAAATGGTCATAAATACGCATAACTAGAAACTAAACCTGCTGCCTTGAGGCGGCAAATAAAAAAATCATGCAATATGAAGTGTTATTTGTAATTCAAAAAGCTAGTCATAGTTTGAAAAGGTCATTGAGACAAATCTAATGATGTATAACACAAGACTTCACCATGGGCGCTTTGCCCCGTGACACGCGTGGGCCCGTTGCCCCCACTAGGTATCATTTCAATTTATGTCGTGTCAACATTTTATTTTAAAAGCTAATAGTCGAAACTTGGTCTCAAAATTATCCCTATAAATATTACTTTGAAAAAATAATTCAAAGTAATTTCAAAATCTTCATCTATAGTAATGGAAAAAAACTTTATTTAGCGGCAAAAAAATTTTTATCTGGACTAAAACAGTTATTCGCAAAGAACTTATTAACGCAAACATTTAGCAAAACGTAAATCCGTACACTTCATCCCAGTGAAACTGTCGACCGGCGGTAGAGAACACGGACCAATATCTGCCATACTTAGCGAGAAACCCGCTATGGGCCCGTGACCCGCAGTGGGCTCGCTGCCCCATGTTACCCTACTGGACTTGTTTCACTGGCCAACATTGTCCCAGCCAGTTATTCAAGACTGGGTGATCCTTGAGGACGCGACCGTAAAAACTCGTATTCCACCGATTTTTATTATAATGTTAATTATATTATATAGCTATTCTATTTGTTTGCAAATTTTCCGTTTCAAAATTCGGTTAATTGTTGGCCTGCGGGTCGGATTGGTGGGACCTACCTTAAAAGTTCGAGTGGTCTAAGCAGCTTATTTTTAAGACCTTAATAAACGATACGTATTGAAGGAATATCATTCTTGTCACGACGATGTGTTTTTTATTCTCCATATTAAGTTATTTCGTAATCAGACGGAAAACTCAGCTGATTGGCAGAAATTCTTTTAGTGAATATGCAATTAATATAGGTTATTTGTATGGTTCTTTCAGATGTATAAAATAATCAGTAATTGTAATATATTGCTGGGAAACAATCAAAGTATTGTTATAAATGCATATTGAGTACATATTGGCCCCGGTAATTCAATTTATCGATCTATTCAACTAATTGTAAAACGCTTTAATTGTCATTCTATACGGTATGAAATTGAAATGAATCAATTGTCTAGATTTATCTATAAATTCACGTTCATATTAAGTAAACTGGAAAGAATTTTACGGAAAAATAATTGATAAATTTTTAATTAGCGAGCTATTCACTGTTCGTGGTAAAACGCTAATGTTACAATCAGGAAATAGCTGGATAGTCGGATGTACGTCGTGAATAATTATACTGCTTGAATATTTCCTATTGAAAATTAATAAAACATGGGCAAAGAACGATATTTTAAATTATTGTAGGAGTAAAACAGTTGCAAAATTAAAATCGAAATCACAAACAAAAAGATAAATATATTAATTCACTAAAAATTAAATTTGCTAATGCTCTGAAATGTTGCTCGGCAATATACAGTATCTTTGAATATTTTCAGTAAAGGAACTGAATGGATGTACATGATATTGCAGTTTCATTTTGATGGCTTCAAACTTTTGTCGAAAGATGATGTATTCACTATAAATCATGTATGAATGATGTACTTCAAGATAAAAATTTGTAGCCTCGTTGTGTATGAAGAATTAAACCAGCAGAATAATACGAGTAGGCCCTACTGGACAGACAGTTCTTCATAAGGAATGTAGCTGCGAAATTTTCTGCAATCAGATTTTTTACGTTTGTTTCTCGCAAGAAAATTGTTCTTCAAAAAATGCTGTCTGGAATGATCCATTCAACAACTAACTGAGTTGCAAGTTTCGAAGGCGAAAAAATGGTCATAGAGGGTTATTTAAGTAAATTTTATTACTTTCATGATTTTCAAGTTGACACCAGCATGAAAAATGTTGAGATAAGATGCCAAAAAAGACATTGTGGAATCTTTAGTAGAAATTACCATTCGTACCTAGAATTTCGCTCACCTGATGTTTCCAAAAAATGAAACGGAGCCAAAAATTAAAAATTTTAATTTTGATGAACTGGAATGAAGAATATTTTTCGTTTTTGCATGTGATTCTAGCCAATCATTTTGTACCGATTGCAATTGAGTAAATTGAAGCACAGTAGCAATCATTTTACCATTCACAATTTATAGACTTCCGCCTAAATGATATTTAATCGTGGTCTATGCTTAACCTTGACATTAGTTTTTGGAGTCTTTTTAATATAGGCGGAAGTATTTTTTGCTGGTGATGAAGATTGTTCATTGGTGTCGAATTTCGAATAATGACTGAAAACACATAGAGAAATGATGAATTTTTGATGATTTTAATTGAATCTGCAAGGCTGGAAAATACATCTGCACCGTATGAATAATATAACATTACAATTTTTTACGTTACTCACCAGAAAGAATTTCATGACGACCTGCTTAGTAGTTCAAGAAAAGAAGTTGAAAACCTGAAAACAAAAGAGAAAGAATTAGTTGTCTTGCTCCAGTTGAATGATATGTGCAGTTTATGGATTAGGTAAAATAACGCTAAGAATAGCGTGATGAATATTCATGACACTATATATGCTCCATTAAAATCTGAAGTCTGAAGGAAACATTTTATCGTTAGCAGGACATTTAGTTTTTTCTCTGTACTCGAAAATTTTTGAATAAATATTTTACCTATCATATTATTCAGGAACTAAAACTCTAAACGGCGTAAAAACATATATGAGCCTCAAAATTTTTGAAACTTGATGCTTGAATGAGAGATTTAGTCCTACTGTTGTTTTTAACCGATATTTTATTATGGAAGTTAGCTAAATGCCTGATTAAGTTGAATCTGAAAAACAATAAGTACCATTCACTAGGCAATTTGTTTGAAAATAATTTATTCTAATTTCTTCATAGCTTCGTTTCAAGAAACGTGATTCCACATGCAACAATTGTATTCACTATATGTTGCTCACGTTTATTGAAAATATGAAAAACTATATGTACGAGGTGAAGCGATAAATTTCTTCAGTAATTCGATGACGTGCATTTATGAACAAAATTACTTTAAATATTCGAAAGGAAATTGAATATTCTAGAGTATGTTTGGCCGTTGAAGAAGAAATCACGTGTGCATTGTTGAAAAAAATGAAATTTTTGGGGTGAGATCATACCTGGGATTTTTTTAATTAGGGAATGTTGAATCTCAACTTTGCTGCAAGTGTCTTTGTTAATTCAAAATTTAGACCAGTGAAAATTTTAAAAATAATTTCAGCTTCAAGTTGTGGCCTGTCAACACCATAGATTAGATGTACGGTGATATAGATTCCGATACTGTGTCTGTCAGTGCTTTTCTATATCCTCACATGGCATCGTGGATACCATCGACTTGATCTAGTTCTTCTTAATATCTCCATATTTTATTCTTATCGTAATATTTTTAATGGAAATTATTCTTATCGTATGAATGTTTCCATGCTTGTGATGTGGAGTGTTATCAAAACCGTCGGCTATTATGGGTGCCGCTCCACATATTATTATTGAATAATAATAATTAAATAATCGGAAATTATGATTATTGTTCATTTTAATATGCGAACCCAATAACCTTCATTGGTGAATTTTAAGAAGCCATAAACGAAGTTGTTTTCGAAGCACACATATATTTGTTCGTGTGGTACCCATTTTCAATATTAGTAATGATTCACGACCACCATACGCTTAATATTTCAAACAAATTCTCTACAAATACACTTATCTCAGACAGATGAGAAATTTATCGAGGTAGAGTTTTGAAACGGAAGTTTCCAGTTCAGATGAGAAAAAGAGATTAAAAGTTTTGCTAAGCTCGAGACTGATCAATGACGAATTCTCACATGCCCTGAATGCAGCGCGCTGGACTAGATACCGGAATTAAAAGGAACGTGGACATGTTTCATAGAGTAATCTTTATACTAATAATCACATATTCAATAATAATCTGATGAAAATATGAATACAGCACCAAAACACAATTGAGAGAAAGTCACAATGCACGAGCTCAAACTCACACGAGCTCTGAGCTGAGTGTGATGGTCGCTCGAATTTGGCCTTGACTTATATACTCTCTGTCTGTCTGCATGTAACTCAATGGGAGAGCGGCGTACGAAGCAAGCCAATAGCAATGGTTCCGTTCGGTATCCTCCTACATGTTCTTGATTATAATCATATATATCTTTATAAGTCAGTGATTAGTTAGAGGCAGCAAACAATCCAAGTCAACGCTAATCACAACCTGATATTATACGTGCATTTAAAGGCAATTTATTATCACAGCTAGTGAATGTTGGGATCCAGTGCAATTGTCTTCTCTTAATTGTAGCGTAAGCTCCTTTTTGGCGACACATAGAAATTTAGTAGTGGGATGACGGGCGACATTCGACACTGAAAGTTCTTAATGTTATTTAATGTAGTAGATCAAATCATTTTTGTTTCGATTGGTTAACATCTTTCGACATGGACATATGGCTCCATGTTTTCGAAGTTTTTGACTTCCTTCAAAATCAGTGTGGAATCAGTCTCATTTCTTTAAATACAGGAATAAATTGATATATTATATTTAGAGCCTAAAAATGTTAACAGATGGGCCTATATTTCGAAGAAAACATTTATATATATCTTTGAACAAATTACAACCGTGCTCTTGGATAATTTGTCGTGGAGCCTATGTACGCATGAAGACAGTGAGAACTTGCTGCTCTATGTCGGATCGTTGTGACGTTTGGCACACGCAGTGATTTAAAGTAATAATCAATTCCCATTAAAGGAGTTGACAATTCAAAGTTATATTTAAAATCAATTGCCTAATGAATTAAAAATGTATTTACACAAAAAATTCACGTATATTCGTCGTTGTGGTTATACGTGTTCAGCACAATAATTGTAAATGTCTCCGTACGCCCTGAGATAGGTAGGATTCATCGAGTAGATAAGGGATTCACAAATTTTTTGAAAGCTTTATCATATAATGTCATATTATCAATCTAAATAGTTTCAAAATTAGTAATAAACCTCCTATAACTAACTTTATTCTATGACACCAAGGCGGAAGTTACTCGTTTGAACTTTTATGACAGGAAGTAATATTAGTTGTCTACATTTGAAAAACATGTTATTGGGATACCATTGAAAAAGCCATAGTGTTATTTTAAGTCATCTCAAGTATAAAACTAATATGTTACAAATGAATAATTTTTGGCATCGAACCAATAAATCAATGGCATGATACTTTAGGCATTGAACCATTACATTATATAATTATCAGTTATCATGAGCATTGAAGCAACGGACCTGAGAAGGGTAAAACTTGTATTCATAAAAATCTGAATGTTAGTGAAATTCTAAATTTACAATTACATTATTCTTGACTATATGTGTGTGAGATATAAAATTCAAGTGCAAATACAGTTAAGATTTTTCTAATGATTCTCAATGTTTATATACCGTAAAAACTTTCATGCACTTAACACTCTCTCATTTCCAGCCTAAATTCAAGAGTAAGATATTGAATTTATTAATCTTCGCTACTAATATCATTTACCAAAGAAACTTCCTGTTGATGATCGATTAAATTTGTTAGGAATCGATAAGAAATGCAAGGATAGAACTTTGTATATCTAAGTCTAACTTTTGTATATCTAAGGCTAACTCAATCCTAATCAATTTCTCAAAATTACATTCATGCTCATAAATGCATGGAAGTGATATAATGCTATTTTCATTTTTTTAGAGGTTCTTATGTTGTTACCCAATTAACGTACATGTGCATTGTAACTATAGTCAAGAACATAAGAAGACTCGATGCTCGCATCAAACTAGTAAAGGTGATAGTGAGTAGCGCGATGAATTTTTAATTTTTATGTTTCTGTCAGCATTTGATTCGTAACCAAAATTCTTCATAACACGTATTATAGTAAAATTTTAATCTGACAAAAATAATTATTAGACAGACAAGTTTTTAAAGGTAATATGTTCTCTATTGTCGCGTACGCGCGGGCCAGAGCGTGGTCGAGGCAGTTACTTATATAGTACGTCGCGAGCACGAGAGTTGTTTTGTGTCTTAATGCGCTCTTCCTTCATTCCTGTGACCTTTGATTCATAACCTAGGCATAAATTTACTATAGCATATAATAAAAATTACCATAAATTTCACTATAGCAGGTGAATTTTTTTCATTGGTGAACGATATTGACTGTTGAATTCACTTACAATAAATTACTTTGAGGAATTACTTGAGCAATTAATCTGCCAGAATCTTTTGAGGCTGTATATGCATGCAGAAAGTCAATTCAGTAGATGATGTATTTTAATGAAGAAGAGTATGTATTTTTGTTATGATGATTTATCACTGGGTGTGGAGTTGAATTAAAAATATCAGAACATGATTATATTTAGATTGCAGTGTAAAGTTGTCCATTTCATGGCTAAAAAAATCCAAATAGTCATTTGTCACTGCATGAGAAAACTTTATATTTGCTAATTGTTTACAACAGGCGCAGACAGGTTAGCATGTGTAATGAAGCATATGAAATTTTCCCCCCACAGGTGGATACAGCATGATCACCTGCACTTGATTAATCATTCAGTTTCATTCTTAATTATAGTTACAAATGTTGTGCATTTGTCGACAACGTCTAAGACGCCACGTACTGTATGTCAAGCTGAAGTGATATCGGTTAATGCAGTCAATATGGTTAATGGTGATGCATACCTGTATAAATCGACAAATGTTGAAAGTGCTTGTTTCTTACGCGGCGTCGATAGTTTTTTACTTTGGGGTAATTAGACGTTTATTAATAACAGGCATAATGAATAGTTCACTTTAACATTAAATCCGCATCTCCTAGACTGGCCTGGACAGCTGCAGAGCTTTGCCGAACCATTCTTCCCCACTGCATTCGACTCCTGACTGACTGTGGAGAAACTTCCTAAACAGACAAGGAACGGAACTCAATCGAAAGAGAATCAAGGTACCCGGAAGTAACAGCATTGCTTTATCCGATTGAGCGAGCACTTCTTCTTCATCGTCACATATTGCGTACAAATTTTTGGTTGAAAAATAGTTAAACAAATTGATTGAACAGTTAAAATTGCATGTATAATCATTGAGCACATTATAGATAGCCACACCAGCAATGCGACCGCTAAGTGAAGTGTTATACTACAGCTTTACAAGGTTGTCAGCAGCACCATACAGACATCACCATCGTAATCGAGAACATTCATCTGTCCAGGGATGCTCGTGCATGAAACGATGGAGTCGCTATCGCCTTCTGCACCGAAAATCGCACTTCAGCTGTACGGAAGAATTAAAGTTAGCAGTTAGAGTCTAGAATTACGGATTTGCGGATTTCAAAGGCTTGTTTTACGATCGGCACTTCGCTCGTCTGTGCATTGAAGAATAATAAATTCAAAGAGCCTGAGATTTATTATTATTATTATTATTATTATTATTCATTTATGTTATCACCTTATGATATACCGTAATTAAATGAACCAAATTTAATTTATTCATGAATCTCTTCCAAAAATTTGAGAATTTTTATTTAATTCACGTGGTCTAATGTTACTGGAAAACATACAATTTCGAATTTACAAGGTCTCTCAACATTACAGATCCAGAGAAGGGTAAATGTCAAAATTATTGCACAGTTAAACAGTAATAACGAATCAGGATGCTCGTTTTCCCTCTATAAATTTAAACGTTTAGCCTTTAAAGTGACTAGATTAAAATTTATTCAAAAAGAAAAGAATTAATTAAAGAATGTTGGACTGGACCGTGACTGGCATATGCCTGGCACGTGCCCGGCAGTATAGGGTACTTGAGAACCCGGCCTTTATCGGACTTATTGTAAACAATGATGGCTGGCTGGATGGAGAGTAGAATGCGGAATATATGTATATAGTAACCTCACCAGTTTTTGTTTGTCTTGCGTCACCTTGAACGGGTTCGTACTCTATGGCGAGACGATGTTTTGAGCCGGGAATAATATCGCTGTCTTTTTAATGACGCGGTCTTGAAATTTTTCTTTTAATATTCAATTTCTATAGATTTTCCTTCAGATATTTTTAATTGTTTTTTTTTTGGGATGGAATTTAGGTAAAATCTCTCAGTGTAATGCATAAAACATTATATCGAAAGGCTTTCGATTCTCTGTTCAAGTAGAGATGTCCGGATGTTGCTAAAACAAACTCAACATCATCATTACTGTAGATATTGATAAAGGTCAAGACAAGTATCATATTTGTTGAGTAAAAATGATAAAAAAAAACTATACTTTCATCTTAGTTTCAGGTGGTTTATTTAAAAATTTAAATACTCAGATGTTATTTTCATATGTAGAAGCTTATTAATAACATACAGTTCCAAATAACTTATTCCCTTTCAATTGGCTGATTAAATAATATAGTATAACTTAAATCTATAGAACGCCACTTTTATCGAGAAAGATTAGTAAAATATTAATTGTTGGCTTTTTAAAAGTTTATTCTTATTATAAAGAAAGTTGAAATCTGCAGTGTGTTCGCCCTTAATGACTGTTATAATCGCGTTTAAAATATTCCTTTGCTAAATTATCTTGAAACAAATGTTTAATGTCACTTAATTTGTCGCTTATGTAAGTAAATAAACGATTCACGTTAATGCGTGTGTTCATTGCGAATCGACAAATAATCTAGTATATATGTTCAAATGACGTCATACGAGTACTTACTACGAAAAAATTGTTCAAATGACGTCATACGAGTACTTACTACGAAAAAATTGTTCAAATGACGTCATACGAGTACCTTTTGCATTACATTGCATTATGTCGTAAATGCAAAATGTGTTAATTTTTTCTTGCTTGTATGTATTGTGAAGACAAATTTTTGATGTGAGTCTTAAGAATGTTGGTTTTGTATTTGTTGAAAATGTGCATGTTTCCTTCGATGAAGAGCTTTGAGACTTCTGGATTTATGCATGATATTTCGATCAAGCGACAATCTTCCAGCATAAATAATGTTCTCTATACAGCAGCACTAATATAAAAATAATATGAACAATGATCTATATAATATAATTTGAATTGTAAATAACTATAAGTCGTGGTGAATTTGTAGAGATGAAAATAAAAACTGGACTGCACGTCAAACTTGAACTCGAAGACTAACGAGATTTTGAGAGGAATTTTTTATCCACTTTTTATCGACGAAAAATAGTTACAAACCTTGATTTCACAAAGTTCTGCAAGTGAAAGTTTTTTTGCGTATTAACTGCAATTATTTGCACGAAGCTATTTTTAAAATATTGAAATTTTCTATAATATCATACTTTTTGTCAAATACAAACAATATAGCAACATGACTCCAAAATTTTTGTTTGTAATTATTGATGTTAAAATATAATTATTTTGACATTAGATACGTATGTATGTAACCGATTTGATGCACATTATTATTTTTTTAAAACTTTTAATGAGTATATGTCAATCGCAAAATATATAAGCACGTACACGCTAAAATAAAAATAAATTGAAAATTTGTGTAGTTATCGTTATCCATCAGCACTCGCGTAGTTACAGTGTGATTCTGAAGTCACTGTCAACTTCGAAATTTGAAATCCTTCAGTTTACCACTATCCATACGCAAAAAAAGATCGAAGAAGTCCCAGCCTTAGCTCCTTTGCAAAAAACACCATAAGAAAGCTGCGCTTAAAAGACACTTTAGCATTCAAAGCATTAATGCATGTTCTGATTGACGTTGACTAGCTGGATGGCGTCTAGCTAAACACGCTGTTGAGGGAGTCGAGTTTTTCATGAAGTATCATATGCCCGAGGCTGTGATTTACCGTTTGCTTGTGTGTTGCTCCCGTCACTCAAAGTCCGGCGACTGTCTGAGGGTATATGTATATAAAGGGGACAGAATCCTCTCTACAAACAGACATCGATCAGAGCTAGTGTGAGTACGACCTTCTGGTGCAGTCAGCTTCAATTTCTACCACGGAACGATTTGATAGCGCATTCGTGAGTAGAATTTTCTTGTTTCGACTCGCTTCGTTTTCAAAGAAAAATTTACAATGAATAAGAAAACCGATAGCCATTAAATTTGTTTCTACTGTTGGAATTTAATTCTCAAGAAACTAAGAATGCCCGATACTCACATTCATTCAAATAATGATTAACATCACCCATTTTACAGACACAAATCTCATAGCTCATAGCGTCGACTGGGTGTAACCCATGATCAACCTAATATTTAAGACTTTTCATTAAAAAGCCCTATAAATTTTACCAAAATAGAATGTAATCAATAAAACGCACGTATTAAATTGAATTTGATCATTTATTAATTAGCCCATATCCGTTTACAAAATGTAGCCGGTAATTTATAAAAAATCAATAATTACCAACGCATATCATGAAATGTCTTGACCTTAAATAATTTGGTTTGATGATACCCGAGTAAACAAATACAAAACCAACTATTGTAGTAATCATAAATCTGAAATCAAATCTTAAAGGTTTATTTAATAATACTTGAATTTTTTTAATTTGAAGCCAAAATCAAAACCTAGTTTACAATTTCAGACGAATAAAATTTGCCTTTGATGAATGAAAGGACAAGATGCCGATACTTTTTATTTCTTATAAAGTTATGCAAGGAATACAATACCCTGTTTCTAGGTTCACTCATTGATTCAGAATATTTATTTTTCTAGGCTTCGAAACTTCACCTCATAAAACAACCAGCGACAGACGCAATGAATTTCTCACGGGTGAGTCCACTGATAAAAATTTAACACATGTCATTATAAGCAAAGAAATTGTTAAAGAAAAAGTAGGCTTCGTCATGTTCGTCGTAGAAAAATTAAACGTCATAGAAATTTCTTGCGCACAATTCTTGATTGGAAAAACTTATAAAGATGTACATGCTTGGCCAATTATACTGATGATAATTTATGTGAAAAGGATTGGAGAAATCCCTTCTCTGTATAAGTTTACTTGTAGAATTAGAGAACTGGTTAAAATAGGTGATAATAGTTTCAATCTTAATGATAATTTTATCTTTTACCAAGCATATATAGAAGTCAGAGTTATAGAGCATCTCAAAGTTTCATCATATACTTTGATGACTTCTTTTTATAGGATGTTATCAAGTCTATAGAGATGTTGCAGTACATCACTAAAACTCCGGATTCACTTTTAATACGCCACACGGCCCATACCCATTTAGTCGTAGAAACACCAGTCCAAAATTATATGGAAATTGCTGCAAAGAGCAGCCGGAGAATATAAGGCATAAAAATATTACACAATATACGGAATTTCTTAAAGTCTACAGCGGTAGCTGATGAAATTCAATTCACATTTCCTTACAGATTTTAAATACGGTAAAAAAGTCTGTAATTTTCATATAGATTTTTTTTATATCTATTTCCACATTTACGCCATAAGTGTTGAAAAAAAAAAAGATTTAAAACATTGGCGCCGATTCTCTTCTTTCACACAACACAACCACCGGCTGGTGAGAGTGAGCTAGAAATTAAAATGTGAAACAACCGGTGGTAAGAGAAAAAAAGCTCAGATAAAAATCAAGTTGTGCTCAGACTGGGAGGTGTGATCTCTTCATACCCGAAGTCTTAAAATTAATTATAAAAAAATTTGGCACCGATATGTACTTCCTCTTGTACGTAACCGGTAATTTATTTGAAACAAAATTTTATTCCCATTTTAATAGTTCCTGCCTCAAATGATAGGTGAAATATTGTACATTGGATGATTTAATGTTTTTTTTTGACGGGTGTGAATGTTAACCGAAATGCACGCAAGTGGCTGCTATAACATGATTCATGTGGACTAACCAATCCAGTAAAATTTAACGCACATAGAAGCATAAATGTGTTGGTATGATGCAGGTGGTGCTGATGGCTGTGATGGCCATTTGGCGTGACTCAAGAGATAACATGAGGTCCAATAAAATGTTATGCCACTAGCAGAGGTGGGCAGTAGCGCGCTACATTTTCAGTAGCGGTAGCGGTAGCGGCGCTACATTTAAGGCAATGTAGCGGTAGACACTACCGCTACATTTATAGATAAAGCCTTTAGATTTTACTTAATAGTATTAAATATTATTTAAAAACAGCATGACACATACATAATATAAATTACAGAATAAAACTCTACGAAAGATTTCAGTGTTATGTTGTCAACCTCAGCCAGTTACTAGTGTCAACATGTTAGTTGTTACCAGAGGTGGGCAGTAGCGCGCTACATGTAGCGGTAGCGGCGCTACATTTAAGAAACTGTAGCGGTAGCGGTAGCGCCCGCTACATTTAGAGCATGTAGCGGTAGCGGTAGCGGCCGCTACATTTCAAAGTAGCCCTGCCTAGCTCTGGCGACTAGCACCATTAATGTGCTGGTGTGATGCAGGTGTTGATGGCGGTGATGGCCATTTGGCGTGACTCAAGAGATAACATTAGGTCCAATAAAATGTTATGCTACTATAGCACCATTAATGTGCTGGTGTGATGCAGGTGCTGATGGTGCTCTTGGTGGCAGTGGTGGCCATTTGTTCGGCAGCTCCACAACTCATCACCACACGACGCAGGTTCCCAGGACAACGACGTCTCACTCCCACACGCTGTCCTTCTTCTCCTAGCCAAACAGACGACTAAACTTCAAAGCTGCACTTACAAGGTTACTGTACTCAAATATAAAATTTCATCTCAAAGTTTCCGGTATTTTTCTGCGCTAAAATTCACTTTTGATTTCGTAATGTTTTGAAAGTCTACAATTCCTTAATTGTGATGTGATATTCAAAGCTGCACTTATAAGGTTGCTGCACTCAAATAAAAACGTCAAGCTGTAAAGTTTACAGTATTTTTTGAGTTAAAATTCACCTTTGATGTCCTTATGTGTTGAAAGTACACAATTCCTTAATTGTGATGTGATGAGATGCATAAAATTCTCCGGAATACATGATTTACTGACTATTGTGCAGTGAAGTGAATTATGATAGAATGTTTCATTCGAAAATACTGGCCTGATTTAATTGCTAACGAATTATTGACCAACATTGACTATTAATTTTATGATTAATCTATTTTCATCATTATTTTTACTCGAATCAATGCTCCACGGACTTGAGATTAAATACCATTGATACCAAAAACGTAATCGATTTAGTTAAAGTTTGCACAAATCTTTCCAACAAATTAATTTCCAGCAGCATTGATTTTAATTGACTCCTACCGATTTCTATAATAATAAACACGTCAATGTATTAACTGAAGCCATAAATGTTCATATTAATCATAAAAATTTAATTTTAGGAAATGCAAGATCCTCTTTAATAATTGTGAATTCTACAGGATGAAGAATGAACTCCTGGAACAAGTTTTCATGGAGTATGACACAACTGGAAAAATAACGCTAGTTAGTCGTCTGAAGAGAAAATGACTCAACAGTTATTGTTAAGGCTAAATTATAATAGTTTTACCAGTGTTATAGTCTCAATAGTAATAGCGGATTTACTCTGAAAGTGTTCAGTAAAATTTTTGAAAATTTAGCAGGATCGATCTTTACTTACCTCTTAAGCACATAAAACATTATTCTTGTCAAAATATGTTAAAAGCTACACCAGCGAGTGCAAAACCTCAAGACATTGTCAAACCGAGACTTTAAATCGCGAGTCATCTTTTTGTGTTCGTGATACTTATCTTAAGTAAATTTAATTACACTGTTTACTGCATCTTCTGTATCAAGTCTATTACGTAAATGCAAAAGCGTAAAAATCAGACAATTCAGATCCTCGCTAATTATATAGCGTATTTCGGCATTTGATCAATCCAATGTGATTTAAACTATACACATCAAAGCCTGTTTATTTGCCTTAAACTTTTTGTTACCTCAAGCGTGTTGATTCTAGTGTTATTATTTTTTTTTTAATTTTAATTTGAGTGAAACTTGGATACAGTGGCAATGATGTAATTTATCCACACTTACATAGCACCATGGTAGTAAAAACGCTATTATATTTTTTATAGAGCTCATGTTGTTTGCAGCACAATTTAAAAAACAGAATGGAAATTAGGTTTCTTAATAATTCTCAATAGCATTGTAATTATTCAAAATGTAATTCGATTGTATTGAAACGGATCTCAAAACATTGCAAGCGATTCTCATAGATCTTAAAGCTTTGTTTTTAAGTAAGTTAGTTTCTTACTAAAAACTATATATCAACATTCAGAATACTAAACCTACATGTCAATGCCCAGTGTTTAGGTGAAATAGATGAACTTGAATCACTGGAGGATTTTTTTAACCAATGACGAGTTTTTTTTTTAATAATAAGATTCTATTTTAAAAATGTTTGTAAATTTTTCCTTAAAGACAAGGGTGGAAAATACAGAGAAATGCAGAAAGTGACTGAAAACTACGAACAATGCTTTATTAAATCTTATCATAAGAATTGACTATGATTAATGACGGTTTTCTAATATTCTGCGATCTTGTACAATTATTTTCTAGGCTCCGTTTCAAATTGATCTTTAAATCAAATTTTCATTCACAGAGAAGTTCTATTCTGAATTGGAATTTAATTACATAATGGTTTGACATGAAGAAGCTACAAATAACGAGTAAAGGAATATTTTGAGGATGAGCATGACCTTTCAATTCAAAATAATTTCAAAAGAACAGGTGAAGAGTCTTTACACGAGGCGATAAATGAATTTTCCAAGTTACTCTATACTGGAAGACGCTGTTCAATCCCAAGTATGTCTCTCTGCTGAATTAGCTAGTTTTGGAAGCTATGATATTAGTGTTAGTGCGGTTTGCTTGGATATTTTATAAATGAATTAAGAATGAAAAAAGATTCCAAACTCGTTATTTGCTCGTGATTTACATGACGTTCGTTACTTGTTCGTGAGGTACGTGACGTCTGTGACCTACGTTATTTGGAAGTGCTGTACATGACGTACGTTTTTTTCAGAAATGTATGTAAAGTACGCGATGCACGTTAGTTGTAGCTGATGTTTGTGACGTCGTTATTTGTGATGTACGTGAAGTACGTTAGTTTTCCGTGATAAAAGTGATGCACGTCATTCGTACGCGGTGCAGGTTATGCACGCTACGGACTTCATTTCTTACGTTACGTGCGAGATTACATTTAATCTTATTGCGACGTTATTTTCGGACTGAAGCCAAGTCACGTAACGTATACCCAACCCGTCGTTTCTAAGAGCAGTTTCAATTTTGAAAATTTGAAATTTAAATTTTTGAAATTTTAATTTTGAAATAAACGTGTTCCTTACATTGAGTGGGACGTGCAAGCGAGTATTTTCTTTAATTTTAGTGCCTAATGGGGCTGATGGCGCTCTGTGCAGCTTGTGCCGCGCAGTGTGGGCTGACCGGAGATTACTTGTAAGCTCATTGTTTAAAATATTAAATGGATTTAACTTTGATTCTCAATGTGCGGTTACATAAAATGTGAAAGCAATGTTAATGCACACCTCATACCGGGACAAAATAGCTTATAATATTATCTCTGTCAAGTCTATCACCACTCTTATCACGTTGTCACGCGGTCTGTAGATAGTTATAAAAGATTATAACACGATATTAAAGCCCCTTTTTTCCTGGCTGCTCCATACTCCTGGCCCTTATCCCGCTTCTCTAAGTTTTTCAACGTATCTTGTATCCCGTCGATATTTTATAAACGTTCTCCTGCTCGAGGCAAAATGAGGAGCAATGACATTCATGACGTCAGTATCCCATGAACAAAAATAAGAGGGATAAGTGGCCAATGCTGTAAAAATGCAATGGCTGAAAATTCTTACGTCTCAGATATCAACGTAAATTAAATATAACATCACTATAAAAAACCTCGCTACAATTTAAATGCCTTTCATCACACACTACAGAAATAACAAAAATTCGGTAAAGTTTTGCGCTATCTACTTTTGGTTTTGTTCTGTGCATGAGAACAGGAACATATTCTACCGAGTGGTACAAGCATCCTATGAATTTTATAATCACCCTAACTGAGCGTGAGACGAGGTAAATGTTACGAATTTTTGCATCAGATATAGGAAGTACTCTGGAAGAAAAGATATTGAACAAAACATGAAGATTTAATGGCAATAACTAGGATAAATAAATTTGCATTCTTAGTATACACGGCAATAGCGTTAAAACGGAAAAGTGTTTTTAGTTGTTAGTTTTTTTGACAATGACCCAAATATTCCCGTAAGTACTGAATTAATCAGGGCTGATATACATGTACAATTATGTGAAATCACAGAATTTTTGCAAATAGTTCAGTTAGGGCTGAATACTTGCAGTTATTTAGATTACCATATAATTCACATATAACGCCGTTCAGATAAATAATTCAAACCATGAACGAATATCGAAAAATTAGAGTATACAGAGGAAGAATTTCGTTGTTGCATCACAGAATGCCCACTTTTTATGCCTCGCATTTGATAACCTCTTATGGTAAAACTAGATGCATTAGCCGTTCAATATTCAAGGTTGGAGAATAAATCCCGACAGCCATAAGAAATTCTCGACAATGTTAATAAATCTAAATGATAACAAGTGAATACAGAAATATGCACAAACTAAAAACGTAAAAGCTTGCTGCTTAAAGGGTTAACAACTTATAACGTTAATTTTGTAACTGTTATCAGAAACACAACATCTGGAAGGCTCTCTTCCAAATAGGCTAACTATTGTATTAGGCAGTACATTAAATTATTATTAAGCAGTACATTATCTTTCGTTTTTTGTTAGGAATAAGCACCCCAGTATGACCTTGTTAATAAAACGCACCCCATTACTGGATAATCCTTTAGAGAATAATTTTTTTAAATTCCTATTTTCAAGAATTCATGCGGCGAGATCGCTTCTCAAAAAATGCTTTTGAATCTTTATGTGATCGTATTGCGGGTTAGTACTTTGACTAAGATGACTGTACTGCATGTACTGTTCTGTACGCTGCCTTATCATTTGGGATTTAATGTTTTACAATGAATTTCTTACATTTAATTATAAGTCTCACAAAAATGTTTAAATAGACCTAATTTGTTTGTAATATTCAATCAAATAACCTTGTTAAGAATATACACCTCATGCAGTAACGTCTGGGGTGCTTATTCTTTACATGATCCCAACTTTCTTCATAAATTATTTCAAATGACTAGTTTATTCAAAAAATGTATTAACTTGCACATTTTCCGATGATCAATATGGTTACAATCAGAACTGTGCATGTGCAATATCTACGCGAATCATTTATAATTTGTAAACAACGTTAATCTACACTGACGGAATGTATCAGAAAAATATTTCGTAAATATTAATTGAACGAAGCTCCAAATGAGACATCTGATTTACAGGTGACATATAATTTAAACTATCATTTTATGAGATGACCTGTACGTGCCTCTTCACTAGTGGTTCGTTTAAGGAAATGCAGGTGCTTTTTTATTGCATTTGCATCATGCATTTTATTTTAATTAGCAGGATCACAATCTACATTTTGTCTTTTAATATTATATTATATTATAAAGGAGTGGTTACATCTAAAATTCACGTTAATATTGATAAAGAAAACAATAGAACTTGAGCGGCTGAATGTCTGACGACGGGGCTCAAGGCTGCTGAAGGGAAATTCCCTCTTCCATAAGAATGAATCCTAACTTCGATACAGTACGTATTCAACTATTCAAAAGCGTCTGTCACGCAGTCAATACTGCATAATCACTTTGAGGTACGAGGTTTAATGTGTCATTAATGCCTATTATTAACGCGTCAGCGCAAATAAAGTCTTGAATGCATTGTCATGTCTTCAAGTAAATTTTATTATTTTATTAGAAAATCGATCGCTAACACACGCACGGAAAGTGACACATTTAAGACCCACTGAAGGTCGGAATGCATCATGGGAATAATTTGAAGTGAATAAGAGAGCATCTCGGGAAAATTCCATCTTAACCTGCATGCACTCAGATGCTCGATTGATTTTGACCAGGCCTATTCTTCAATACCGACAATCCTATACTATACTATAGGGTAACATGGGGCAGCGAGCCCACTGCGGGTCACGGGCCCATAGCGGGTTTCTCGCTAAGTATGGCAGATATTGGTCCGTGTTCTCTACCGCCGGTCGACAGTTTCACTGGGATGAAGTGTACGGATTTACGTTTTGCTAAGTGTTTTCTATACTATACTATACTATACTATACTATACTATACTATACTATACTATACTATACTATACTATACTATACTATACTATACTATACTATACTATACATCTTAGAGTTGTGACAACAAAGAAAAGAATTGCAATGTACCCTATCGAGGCACGGCGTGCAAGGCTGAACGTTTGAATAGAAATTGAATAGATAACAGCAATGACGTCAATGGTTGAAGGGGAGGTCAAGCGCCATAATACAGGGTGGGGCAGAGAGACCTGCTTATTTTAATAGCCTTCCTGAAGTGTGGTTGGCTACGGTAACTTGAAGGAGGAGCTTGATCAAGAGCACAAACTTTAAAGTTTTGTTTATTTGATGAGCCGCATCAATTTATTTTCTTTTTATTTGCAGTAAACATGATGATGATTAACTTATAGTTATTTTTATGAATTCCTTTTCTTTTATTG